GTCCCGCCCCCCCCCACTCTCGTCCCCGCGGTGGTTCACTCCGCCGCTGACGAGGAGCCGGCCGAGCCCGCTCCGGCGCCTACACTAAGGAGGCGCCAAGATGGCGGAAGCCTGAGGCGGGGAGGGACGTACCATTCGGCCGAGGACAGGGATGCTCACGAGGGGAAGGGGGCGGGGGAGGCAGCTCTAAGGGAGGATCCGAACGGGGCTCGCTCGGGGTGATTTTACATGCGGCCGGCGTCACAACCATCCAAGAAGCGAGGCGAGGGGGGGCGCCCGGTGAGACGAAGCCGCCCGGGGGAAGAGGCAGCAAACAGACCACCCCTCCTGCAGCGTGCCGTGATGGTCACGCCCATCAGGCGTGACGTACGTACGAAGCTCCGCCCCGCCTCGGCAGAGCCAATAAGGAGCGAGGCGCCTGGAATTATGAATGGGTTGGTGGCTGGGCCAGGCGCAGGTCCTTAAAGGAGACTCTGCAGGCAGGGGCGGTGTCGGGCAGGCCCCGGACCCCATCGCAGCGGCGGCTCGGCCCTAGTAGCCACTCCCGTTGCTCCAGGCAGTCGCGGGCGTCAGGAGGGAAGCGTTGGCTGTGTATCTGCCCGAGCACTGTCCTGCAGGGAGGCACAGGCTGTTTGTAGCCGGCTATCTTCCTCCCCATGACTATTTAATGGCAGGGCCTGGCTGTCTGCCTTACCTGTGCAAGCACTGAACGCAGCAGCTGGCAACTTGTGCCTATAAACCAGGCCTGTAATTGTTATACGACTTTTAAATTACTATTTATCTTTCTACTGACTTCTTCAGAGACCTTGCAGCTATTGTTCGGGTGATGGGGGCAACCACCAACTAGAAGAGGAGTATGCATGTAGAAACAAGCCATGCAAAGTTTAATACAAGCCACTGTTGTCACGCCCAAGGTGAAAGGTTTACGTGGAGATAGTGAAGGGAAGAAGCAAGAAATAGTGTGCTGTGTGTAGTATGTGGATTTCTTTAAAAAAAAAAAAAAAGTTTAAAAAATATTTTCCATGCAGATTCTGGCTCCCATTTGTACACCCGTTAGAACAGAGTCCTGACGGAGTTTTGTAAGGCGGCCTATCCTGAGAGTGTTTGAATGCAGTCTGCAAAAATCATCAGGTGAGGTTGTTGACAAGGATATGAAGTCGAATTGTTCACCCTTTTTATATGAATTGAGGGCCGCTTGACTTCAAATTGTACCCACCCAACCAGCAACAGTGCTTGTTGCACTGCCCCTTTAGGTAAGGGAACAAATTAAATTGAATTATATAATCCCAACAATGCAAAATTGTAGTTACTTATTGAGGTAGGGTGAACGTTGGGAGGAGCATTTTTATTATTTTCTCAAGGAGCTGTAACATATTGCAGTGACAGGTCATTGGTCCCACATCTTTTCACTACAAATAGAGTTTGACTCTCTTACAACACCACAAGAGAGAGGTTAAATAGAACAGTTAAAAACAGTATTTTAAAAAACAACAATGTAGGCTGATATAGATATCTCTACATACACACATTCCCTTGCGATACAAAATCCCAGAGAAACATTTAGTGCATCACCTACAACTTGTTCATTTTTCTTTTCACTCAAGTCTCTTCCTAGCTGACATGTCATTCAAGCCTGCAAGCAACTGAAACAACTAATCTGTATGTATCTTGTAAATTCTGGCTGGAATTAACTCTGGACACTCTCCTTACCCATTTGCAAACTAGGGACGTTGAACACTGACCAAGCAACTTTTTATCAGTCTGCCACTCATGTAACTTCACAGAAGTCTGTGGATTAACTTCACAGATGAATCTGTCCTGCTGATTTTAAAAGTACTGATCAAATAGATCCTTTCTTAGTCATACAAAAAGTTAGGACAATTTGTCCAATGTAATAAGTAGTTACACCACCAGTTCATGTCTGGTGATAACAGCATTAAAAACAGCCGCTGGTTTAGATGGAGAACAGGAAAAGAGATCTGACGACACTAATGCAAAGATTCGGAATAACTCCAGCTAAAGGTTTGCTGCAATTTCAAACTCAAGTTACAAATACATTCACAATGCTAGAAGGCCAAATATGACATACAGAAATCCAGCTCTTGCCAGGATGGCAACTGTTGTTGCAAGTATGTGTAGGTTGTTGGAGAATTCCTTTCTACATGGAGCAGCTCCCCTTTGAGGAAGAAGCACCCACTGAACGGTTCTAAAAAGAAGTCCTAGTGAACCAGCACATGGACAGAGGGAGAGGAAGGTTCATCTCTGCATAAAGTTCTTTTCCAGGGCAGCTGGTGTTCTCTGGATTGAGTGGATGTTGCGTTTGACTCGATCTTCCAGAGAGGAAGTGGCTGCACTCTCTAGTTTTAGGTGGCTGCAGAAAAATTGAACCAGAAAGAAAATGAGCATATCCTTCCCAAATTCACCACCTTTTTAGTAGACTTCCATGAATTCTGGGCTCACATGCCTGAACTAAACTAAAATAGGAAACCAGCTGCTGCTTCCTATTGCAGTCTGTGTTGGAAAAATTGAATGGTTACATTTTAGCCTGCAGCAGACTAAATACCATATTCAGGGTCAGTCTTTCTATGTATACATTTTAAATGACTCTCTAGTACTCCTCAACCTTCCAAATATAGCTAACTGTTAATTACTAATGCATCTGTCACGGGGGATTCGGCTGCTTTCTGAGAGGCGTACAGGAGGGAAAAGCAATCTGTCCCTGAAACGAGGGCAGCACTCCTCTGGGAACTAGAATGCCATAGCTCACATTGTAAGTTGCTAAGTTAGCTACAGACAAGGAGAAGAGATAAATGTGATGGCTGACTTCTTGCTTTTAAAACTCCAGCCATACTATTAAAAGACAACCAGTGCTCATCCTTCGCCCTCAAGTAACACAAAAACACACAATCTGTTAAGTCAACTTGTCTGAGTGGGGAGGGAACTACCCTCCTCTAGTAAGATCTGATTGTGAAATAAGGGACTCTAGGTTAGTTTCAAGTCACTTTGCACCCTCCCAATTCTGGAGCATTACAGAAGCTTGGCCCTTGGCAGGATGCATACAATCTTGGGTTGCTGACTAAGTTATGGCAGGCTCCTTAAACTACACCAGGTCCTTTGGCCCTATATTTGACCCCGCTCACAATGTCTGTGGAGCTTAAGAAATCAGCTTCTAGAGCTGTCCTCTTCAGATTCTCAACAGAGAAAACCTTTCCTTAGCTAGATCTTGAGTGTTTTAAGCTTTACACTGCTCAGACTCTCTAACCCAGCATAAAGAGGCTGGAGTAGGGACAAAGGATCTAACCCCTTGTTTACAGATGTGCGTTTCTCACAATACCTCTTTCCCCCAGGATCTCATTTATCTAGTTCAGGGTCCAATCATACAAACCCTCTATACACGGATTCCCAGTGGTGTTCGTGAAGGTCTGGGCCTATACTTTGTAGGTCCTGAAGTCAAAGACCTTTCTTTATCTGTTTATCTGTTTACCTCCTCCCTGCCACTTCTCTGTTGCCACGCAAATTATTGACTTCAGCACCACTGTCCGATCTAAAGGATGAAACAGCCATGACCATACTCACTTTCTCTTTTTTTTTTTTTTTGGAAGTAGATTAAAATTTTACTGTACAAAGTAGAAGAGGATGATAGAAATGGAAGTCTCTTAGTTTCGGTCTACTCCCAAACCCATGCCTGCAGCCAGTTCAGGACACCTGTTCTACAGTAGGTTTGTCTATTCTGACTGTAAAGGTCCCAGACACTAGGACTTCCACCCATTCCCTTGAAAACTATAGCTTGTAGTTAACTTGAACAGAGGAAAGGAATAGCAAGACACTCACTGCAGGAATTTTCCGTCTCGGGAGTCAAGTTTCTGCAGCTCTCGTTCCCGCTCCTCCTCTTTTCGATGTTTCCTGATGTTGTTTGCCCTCTCTTCTTCCCGCCACTTGGCATTTTCCATCATTTCCTGACGCTTGCGTTCTAGCTCATCTGCAGAGATCCTTCTGTTCACCAAGGAAGGAATACCACTGGGAATTATGATCTATTTGTTCCTCCCCTGCTCCCAATTTGCATCTCCTATTCCCTGACCACAGTCCAGAAGTTATTTATGGGAAGTGTGGTCTAAGTGCTTATTAACACAATACCGTAATAGAAGAACCTCCACGTATGCTAAAGTTCTCATGTACTGCCATTTAAGAAGGCACTTCCTATCTTGGAGGAAAGAGACTGGCAACACAGCCACCCATGTCTGGAGTTCTCTCACACTGGCTTTTTGGCCTTCAAATTCTGGCAGGCCTTTCTGACATCTTTCCCTCAGGTCCTGATAACCAAGACACAATGTGCATGCTTGACTGCTTTGCTATGTTGTGTCTCTAGCAAGAAGATATTTTTCCTTTTCTCAATGGTTGGTAATTGATTGGTAAGACAATGCCTGCAGGATCATCACATTATCCTGATTACAGTGAAACCGAATACTGCCAGCTATCACTCTGTAGGAAGAAGACATCAACTTCATGTTACCCTCATGTGCTGGTGCAAGATATTTGAAGAACTGGTACCTGGAAAGCCATATGCATTTGTTTAGGAAGAAGTCTAAGGTGTTAAAACGCATACTCAGAAGTGTCATGCACTTACTGATTCGGAACCACCTTCCTGACTTGCTGGACCTCTGGGACATTGTGCTAGTTAATATTGTTATTTCCTTGCATCACTCATGCCTTAACATTTTACCATCACTTCAGGAAGCTTTTTTATGAATGCATCATGCACACAGGATTTTACCTACTTAGTATACCCTGAAGCATGCTGTCGGCGGTATGCTTTCTTCGGGGAAGGGCTTCTAATTCTTCCCTTTTCCTTCCAATCCACTTTGGTGCTATGCCTGTAACCCAGGGGAACACATTTTTAA